GAAGTTATGCTTCTTCTTTAACAGTGAAAAGAATCGATGGCTCTTATCGGAGGACCTCGAGATGAATCAACCCAAAGTGGCTATGCGCCCGGTTAACCTTTGTACGGCCTTAACACTATCCACAACGGTGATGTCCTCTATGGACTTAATCTTATCGGGATTAATCTCAATTCCCCGGTTGGACACTATGAACCCAAGGAATTTTTCTGACCAGACTCCGAATGCGCATTTCTCAGGGTTCAGTTTCATATTGTACTTTTTCAATATGTTGAAGGTTTCCTGCAAATGTTCCAAATGGTCCTCTGCTCACAGGGACTTAACTAACATATCGTCAATGTAAACCTCCATCGATTTTTCTATTTATTCTTCAAACATCCGATTTAGTAAGCGTTGGTAAGTGGCACCGGCGTTTTTAGTCCGAATGGCATTACATTATAGCAATAGGTACCATATTTAGTGATGAAGGACATTTTTTCCTGGTCGTCTAGGTCCATCCGAATTTGGTTGTACCCGGAGTAGGCGTCAAGAAAATTGAGGATCTCGTGGTCGGCCGTTGCATCGATCCTGCGATCGATATTTGGCAGGGGGAAGAGTCCTTGGGGCAAGCCTTGTTTAAGTCTTATACACATTCTTAATTTATTTCCCTTTTTAGGGACTACTACTATGTTTGCTAACCAATCCGGGTATTTAACTTCCCAGATGGACCCTATTTTAAGGAGTCTTAGCTTGTGAGTGGTTATCTCCGGTGGAATCCCTGTCATATTGAGATGGGACCAACCGAAACAATTTATGTTAGCTATAAGGAATTAAATGAGTTTTTTCCTCAGCTCGGGATTTAACCTCGTGCCCAGGTATACCTTACGATCAGGCAGGTGTCCGATCAATATGACTTGCTCTAGTTCATCGACTGTTGATTTGGTGGCATCGGAATCATCGGGGACTATGAAAGACTCGGGAACTCCATAATCGTCGTCCTCATTTATCCCCTACTTCTCCGGTTCCATCAAGGCCGGTATCGGTAATTGCTATTTGGTTTCGTCTTTGGCTATCGGGTTCAGAGCCTTCGATGTTGAAAGTGTGGATACCGGGATCACCTAGTCAATCGTGAACATCTCTTTTGCGGCCGGCTACTCTCCGTAAACTATTTTAATTCCTCCAGGCATTGGGAATTTCAGCATCCAGTGTAGTGTTGAGGGTATTGCCCTCATGTTATGAATCCATGGTCTCCCGAACAAAGCATTGTACCTCATGTCTTATTCGATCACGTAGAACTTCGTTTGCTGAATGGTCCTGGCGGTGTTCACCGTTAATGTTATCTCCTCTTTAGTGGTCTCGCATGCCATGTTGGATCCGTTTAGAACCCTGACTACAGGCACGATTTGGTCTTGCAAACCCAGTTGTTCCACGACCCTCGATCTAATGATATTGGCCGAGCTACCTAGATCAATCAACACACGCTTAACTCGAGATTTATTTATGAGTAAAGATATTACTATTGCATAATTATGGGGTTGCATGATGCCTTCAGCATCCTTGTCATTGAAAGACAAGGCCCCTTATGGTACGTAATCGCGAGTCCATTTTTCTCTCGTAATGGATACTTTGGTGCGCTTTAACATCGGCCTCTGGGGGACGTCGACCCCGCTGATGATCATGTTAATGACGTGCTGAGGTTCCTCCTACTCGGTCTGTTTATTAAAATCTTTATTCCTGAAATGATTTTTGGCTGGATCGCTCAGGAACTCCCGGAGATGTTCGTTGTTGAATAACCAGGCTACCTTCTCCCTTAACTGTCGGCAATCTTCTGTTCTATGGCTATATGTGCCATGATACTTGCATATTAATTTGGGATCCCTTTGGGCTGGATCGGACAGTAGAGGTCGAGGCCACTTGGTGTCTCTGATGCGTCCGATAGCGGATACGATAGCAACAGCATCGACGTTGAAGTTGTACTCTGATAACCTCGGTGCTTCCTTAGGCCCGATGGGCCTGTCAAAACCATTTTTGCTCATGAGTCCCCGGTTATTTTGACTCCGATTGCTTCTCCTTTCATTTCTCACAGTGTTTCGTCCAGATCCGTTACCCCTACAATCACCGTTGTATGGCAGATATCGATCCCTAATTGACCTTGGTTCACGATCAATGTCTATTTTGGGTTTGTCACTAGCTCGGACAAGATAAACAAACCCGAAAGGGGGCCTAAGATGATCATCTTCTACTCTAATTTTTGACTGATATTGGTTATGCATATCGGCCCAAGTTACGGCCGGATATTCTACCAGATTTTGCTTCAACTGCTGCAAAGCCAACGAGCTTCGAGTACTGAGTCCTTGGGTGAAGGCCTGAACGGCCCAATCGTCTGCTACCGGCGGCAGGTCCATCTGTTCCATTTGAAATCTTGACACGAACTCACTAAGCATCTCGTTATCTCTTTGCTTTACCTTGAAAGGTCCGATTTTCTAATCTTGACCTTGATGGCTCCAGCGTGCGCTTTTACAAAAGCATCTGCAAGCATGGAAAATGAGTCAATAGAATTGGGGGGTAAGTTGTGATACCATATCATGGCTCCTTTTGACAAGGTCTCCCCAAACTTTTGCAGCAAGACTGATTCGATCTCATCATCTTCTAGGTCGTTCCCCTTGATGGCACACGTGTATGAGGTCACATGTTCATTTGGGTCAGTTGTCTCGTTGTACTTAGGAATTTCAGGCATACAGAACTTTTTAGGCATCGGCTTCGGGGCTGCGCTCGGAGGAAAATGTTAATGAACAAACTTTTTGGAGTCTAGGCCTTTCAATATCGGTGGCGCTCCGGAGATTTGGTCGACCCTGGAATTGTAAGTCTACACCTTCTTATCGTTGGCTTCGATTTTCTTTTCTCCAGTTTCCACCCACTTTTTCAATTCCCCGATCATCTTTATTATCTCGGGGTTGGTCCTGGGCTCAACTTCATTTAGCCTATATGCGGTTGGTTCATTTCTGCGAGTGTTTTCCCGAGATGATTTGGGCTCAACTCTACTGGGAGCGCGGCTTTGGTTCTGCAGTTGGGCTATCGCTGCCTGCTGAGCCTTCAGCATTTCAAATATCGCCCGTAAGTTGATCCCATCTCCTTCACCGTCACAAGTATTTTGGGCTACCGACCGGACTCCCCCGCGGGCATTGTTCTCGTAATCGGTGGGCAAATTCGTGTTGATGGCCATATGTGAGCTGGCGTTGATCGGGTTCGCGACCGGAATTTCATTGGGATCGACGGGGGGAACCTCGTTACCGGGCGCTATATTGTTGTTCTCGCCATGGTGGCGAGACTCAACATCCGTATTTATAGGGGCAGATTAGGAGTTCGACATTTTAAAAGCAGACCTGAAATCAAAGACACTTCAAAGAACAAGTGTGAAGTAGGGTGTGTTATGGAAATTTGTATCAAATTGCCACTATTATCCTTAGCCCCATGGTGGGCGTCAAACTGTTTACCCTCAAAATCGGATAACAATTAAATTTGTAAGTGATTTTAAGGATACACAGATTTATTTGATACAAAACGATAAATTAGATTAAAACGTACAAATAGAAATACAGTAAATCCAAACCACGCGAGGATGATGTCTTCAGCCTTAATGAACTATTTGCCCTAGATCCGGACTCACAATGGTCAATATTGATGAATGAAAGAAAAGCTTAGAATAACAGTGAAAATAATAATATATTGCTTTGGAATACGTGTTACAACTTTTTAATAAATTATGAGACCTCTCTTTATATAGTAGGGGAATCCCACTCTAGGTATAACTCTATAAAAGGTAAAAAAAAAACTTATGTTTAATTGATTGCTAGTTCTACATCGATACGTGCCGAGATTCACGCCGTGATATCCGGCCGGTCACGAATATTACGGTATCTTGTTGGCCGCGCTTGATTACCCAACGGCGCTCTCCGAATTCCTTCAGGTTTTAGGTCGATCTCGAATCATGACCCCGATATTATCGAGGGTCGATGGTCGGCCCCCGTAGTCTGAATCGAGAATATTCTTGCTTCGATTCCGATCTTTCGCAATCATATCTCGAGCTCGTTTTACCCTGTTGGAGGCCGGAGTGTATCATGAGCCCGATTTTTACCCTAGACAAATGAAATTGGACTTTATACTTATCAGCCGCTTCCACCCAATGGCGTTGGATTGGAAGAAGGTAATGGGCTAGGCTAGCTAAAAGAGAAAGTAACCTATTTTCTCTGCTCCCTGCTCTTCCTTCCCCCTCAGAAAGTTTCTCCATCTGTGTCTTCACTCTCAATTGTAAAAACTTACCATAAATTCAGAGTGAATTATTAGTACATATTTTCACCTAATTAAATCACTTAATAAGTTAATTGGTTTGATTTAAACACAATATATTTTTGTTTCAAAGCAAAAAGAAAAAGCCTAGAAGTCTAAAGTTTCGTGTACGGAAGGTCTAATTCTGAGTCAAAGCTCTATTTATTACCCTATTTAGTCTTTTCTCCTGAGACGATTGGAGGTTGGGGAAATGACACCCTTGAAGAAGGGCCTGCCATCATCGGGTAAAAAGAACATATAAAAGTACTGTGCACTTGTTAAATGACAAATGAGTGAGTGCATAAACTAGCTGATGCTTTAATCAAATGTTATTTAGTTACAAATGAATTAGAATAATTGAAAATCACATCTTCAAATAACAAGATTTAACGAGACTTGTTCATTGAAAAAAGTCTAATTTTAGAGCCTCTTTTGTCGGATGGCCAAACCCATTGCCAGGAATATAAATTAAAAAATTAATGCAATCTGAGCTAATATAGCTAAAAATAAAGAATCAATCACATGGAATTATATTCCTTGTAAATGAGGGATTTACAGTGAAAATTACAAAAAAAATCCTAACTAAAGTAGGAAAATAAACTAGTAGAAGTGAATTAACTGAAAATGAAATCATGGCTAGCTAACCTAAGAACAACAACAGGTAATTGAACTGAAACTACTCCTAAATTCTCCAATATTCATCTAATCAATTTCTTGACTTGGTCAAGGCCTTGTGAATGTTGGAATTCATGATTCTTGTCTAGCTCTTCAAGGAACACTTTGGGAACCAAGCAATTGTCACTTGAGTACAACTTCTCCTGAATCAAGGACGATCCCACAAGTTTTTGCAAATCTGGTGTTTCATATGATTTCCCATTCTCCTGCTAATTCATTGCAAATAAGTCAATTATGCCACTCAATATAACAACTACTTAGCATATATAAAAACGTTCCATGCATCCTAACAATCATTTAATCCCTGATATAAAAACTTCAGTTTCATGCATTTACAAATTAAATCAGTCTTGTCGAGACAAAAAATGGAGCTAAATCTCATTTCCCCTCCAAATTCTGGTTTCTTTTTAACTTTTATAACAGTAACCGCTCATATAAGGTGAAAAGTAACAACAGTTGAATGTTAAAAATGGAAAAGAATTCCACAACCCAAAAGAGGAAAATAACAATAAAATAAAGAGTATATATAGCATCTACTATAGAAGGTGGTAATATTTACCTGATGTGATCCCATGAATTCAAGAAGTCCAACTTGGGCTTGCAAGAACTTAACATACTTGAAAGTAGCTTGAAGCATTTCAGCAGTGTTCATCCTATGTCCCCCAGGTATCAGCTTCCCTAATTCTTGCGTTTTCTCAGTAATCTTCTTTCTCCTTTGTCTCGCCGCTATGCTCTGTGCAGACATCTTCTTCTCATTCTTCTCAACCACCTGATCATGAGAACTGCTGCTAAAAATAGGCGGACTCGGAAAGTACTCCAGCTGTGGCGTAGGAATATTTTCTGGAAATGAAAACGAAGAGAAATCTTGATAGATTTGCCCATTGGACAAATTACCCTGAGTTATTATATCTTGATGATGGCAGTTGTCGAATTGAAAGACTTTTTGCCGTTTTGGATTGCTCATCTGAAAATCAGAGTATTCTTGGATTTCTGGCACGAAACAAGAGCTATAATTTGGTTCCACTGCTGGGTTGGAGTCAAAAAATGGATCGAAATAGCAAGTCTCTGGTTTAGGAAAGCTATGGTCATAGTTGAAATCAAAAAGAAAGTCGTTGAGTTGTTGCATATTTGGTTCCAAGTTGGAGTTGGAGTTGGAGTTGGAATAGTAGCTAAGACTAGCCATTAACAACAGTACCCTTTAAACAAAAAGAGCTTATGTTTAGTATCCAAAAGAACAGATTGAAGCTAGTATGAGACTATGAGTGTAAGAGTAGCAGCTTAATTAAAGTGCAAGAACATGACGTGGTTACTGGTTAATGGTAAGAAATAGTAGAAAAAAGAAAAATTAGTTAAAGGATAGTTACCTTATTGAGATGAGGAAGATACTGTCTGTATCTGATGAATCTCTGCTGTTTTTTCTCACTTGTTGAACAACAGTAGACCTTAACAAATTAAAGAAGATTTTGTTTTTTTACTTGAGGTTGACAAACTAATAATAATAACAGTAATAATAGCACTAATTAATTAATAGGTGACGGCGGAATGGGCAGTTACTGGTAGAGTTAATGGAGGATAAGTTTTAGGGAATGTTAACCGATCCCTCTAATTATGTGGAGAGTTATTAGGGGCTCTCTCAACCGTCTAAAACCACTCGGTAAATCATTACTAAAATTTAGGATGCAAAACTGGTAAAAAATTTCCTACACTAAACCTTATTAATTTATCATGGTTAAAAGATAAATTGAGGTAAAATTATGTATTAGTTTAACTGCTAGCTAGTATGATTTATTCCTATTGATAATAATTTAATTTATAAGGACACACTATGTATTTATTAAATTGATAATAAATATAAACACTAAATATGAGTAACTGTTTTCTCCAAAACAGTTTTTGGATGCTCAAGAACTCTTGAACAAATATATTTCGCTAGTTAATAAGTTTTCTTGCCTTGATCAGTTCATATTTTACTCACGGGGTAAATGGAGGCGTGTCTTTCCCTTCATTTTAGGAGTAATAAGATACAGTTTGGTTCTACTTATTTATATTAGCTTTTGAGATATTAATAAAATAATCCACTTAAATATTCAGATTTGAAACCTAAGAGGCTAATTCTTTAAATAAAAAAGGTAATTTGTTAAGTAAAAGAAAGTTGATGAGTTTTCAACTTCGTGTCATTGTTAAGATTAATTAGGGGAAAAAGAAAACGTGCACCAAGAAAAACCTAGCCATTTGCGACAAATAAAAAAAGAACCTACAGAGCTAGAAATTGAATGATTATGAGAAGAAATAATGAAACTAGAATACTTGAGATAATGAGATATTGAGTGTGGAATATGATTTCCTTTTGTTGTTGAATATCTGTAGACAGCTTTTGGGGCTGACATCCATTTTTGGTCCAAATTACTAGGTTGTTTTCTGGTACAAGACAAAGCATTTGTAGAACCAAAATTTTTTTGAGTCAAAAACAAAATCAATCAAACTGACCTCCCACAATAGGCCACAGAATTTTAACATTATCACTCCGATCCTCTTTTTTCATAAATTGTTTTTAACCATAAAATTTGGCCTCATTTTCTCTCCCTATTCTTAGTTCAATAACTTTCAGCTTTCGATTAGTCATTTCATCTTACACCTGTTCTCATAATTTTAAAAATTTCCTACTTTATATCATCGTATTTGTTTATATTGTTGATGTACTTTGTTAAAAAAAATCGTAGTATTTTGTTAATATGATGCATACTGACCTTTTGATAAACTACGTACAAAAAGAAACTGGAGTTTTATAACGCGGTGGATTGATTTTATTTAAAATTATTCTTGGGAAATACTTTCATCAAAAACATAATATTTTTTCTTTTGTTTTTCCCCTATGAGCTTACTCGACTATTCCTCTCTAACTCCTAACCTCACCAACTGCACCAAAAAACTCTTATCCATCCAATACAATTCACTTCCACACACAAAAAAAAAAAAAAAAAAAAAGGTATTTTTTCTATAAACACATTTCTAAAAAAGAAAAAAACACTTGCAAGATCTGTCCAAATGCCACCTAAAAGTTTCCCCCAAGATTTACTTAGGGAAGTAACTGCGAGTAGTGCAGTTAAGGTAAGCTTAAGAATAGTAACAAAATCCTAATAATGAGGAGGGTATTTCTCTCCCTCAACCGTTACTTGTGCTTGAAGTTTTTACCCATTCCTTTTTTGTTTCACTGGGTCTGAGGATCTGTAATAGCATGGTACATATTTATTTATTTTTCATATTTATACCAAATTAAAAATTATACCTTAAAAATTATTAGATTGAGAATACATATCACATAACCATGCATATAATGTAGTGAGAAATATTTGCACGAAAAGACATATCTTGTGTTCATTTTTTTAATGTAAAGAGACAAACTTTATAAGAAGAATTTACATAAACCTCCTATATATAAATTTTGCCCTAATCATTTAATTCTTTTTGCTGCTCGTTTTCATAATACAAAACCTCCTCGATCGTATTCCCCAGTTATTTGTTAATGTTTGAATTAATAGCTCAATGTCAAGTTTGTTACGTTGTAAAAAGTGAGGGAGAGAACATGCATCACTGTCAAGTCAAGAATTTTACGCTTCAGTGTTTCACTTATGCATAGGCTTTTTTAGAACTTAGAAGATATAGCCTACCTTTAAGATCTCTCCTCTTTCTATAAGACAGGTAAGAAAAGTCAGAACTCAGAAGGCTAAGCAGTTTGGACAATTTCTGGGGGAAAAAAAGTTGGAAAAATCATTTTTAAAAAAAGAGAAGAAGAAAGATATCATAATTAATACTCCCTCCGTTCAAGTTTATGTGAACCTATTTTCTTTTTTGTCCGTTCCAAAAAGAATGACCCATTTTCTAAATTTGAAAACAATTTAGCTTAAACTTACAATTCTACCCTTAATGAGAAGTTTTTATAACCACACAAATACTCTGGACCCCTTTTTGATTTGTTTAGGACCACAAATTTCAAAAGTCTTCATTTTTTCTTAAACTTCGAGTCCAGTCAAACATGTTTACATAAATTGAAACGGAGGGAGTATATAATACAAAAGATTTATGAGTGTTTTGTGACTAGAAGAAATAACTTTATGTGCAAAACGTTTTCAATCACTTCTTAAACGTATTTTTGAAAGGAAAAAAAAAAAAACTTTCTAGTGAATGCTTACACACGTTATAGGGAAGTTTTATTCTATAACTTACACAGAAAAAGAAGAGCATCTAACGAACCCCAACCTCCCACTAGTTCTCTGGTTTACTAGTTATACCATCTTTAGTAATATAATTGACTAGTGTAACCAGCTAGGTTTATTTCCCTTCTCTATACTTATTTGTTAGTAATAATAAAACACACCAAATCTCCTATAATAAGAAAATTATTCGACGACTAATTATACTGGTGGGTTGCTCTAATGGTGAGCACCCTCTGTTTAACCAAAGAATTAGATTCTCAGTCAAAGCATATTTTTAGAAATACTCGGGTTACTGATAATCAAGAAATTCAATATTCTCTCAAAAAATAAGAAAAGAAATCGTAATCAATTATGGCAAAGTAATCAGTAGAAAGCACAAGAAAGTAATTATATTCCAATGTTTATCAGAACATGTCTTTACAAGTGAAATTCCCTTCCCGTATATAGGAATTTACAAATATAACGTTTCTTCCCTTTTATGACAGAATCATTATGAGCATTAATGACATTAATGAAAACGTTATAATTGGCAACCGTAAGTGTTCATGAAGATTCTGTAACTGTTTCGATTCTTCTTCCACTTTAATTTGAGGTTCATGAATCTTCCCTCTTTACTGTCTTGATTCATCCTGCCTGTGTCTCTTTACTGAATAATTTAGGCTCGGACAACCGTACATGTTCGTCTCGTGAGTGATTTGCTCGTGCCTGTTGTAAATTGTGACTCTTTTAATGCGATACTCCAGTTGTCATCTTCTTAGTAATCCACGTATCTTACCCTGTCATCTTCATATTATTTCAGGTGTAATACTTATTTTTTATCAATACAGATAGTCCCCCCACTTGCTGAATATTCTGCAATGGTATATTTGGGAAGTGGCACATATTTATGGCGGGAATGTTTTGTCGTTGTTTCCCATACTTCATTGCATCTTCTTCAGAACCATCGCTTCGTATGTCACTTCCATTTAATGTATGTGCTATGTGGCCTTCGTCGATTGGGTCTACGATTCTTCATCGATTTTAAAGGCTTTCTTGTGGCTGCATCATTCAATTTTAGTTTCACAAAACCTTCAATCTATAGCGTTCTTCTTCTTTAATCATTTTTGTTCTTCAGCACACATTATTTTCTCATATAACCATGTCTTCATCAAACCCCGATCCTCGCAAAATAGTAATTGTAGATGAACTTCCCTTTTCAACTGCTCCTGTTAGGAGTAGAAGAGGTTATAGATTACGCAGTTTAGGATCTATATCCAATCGTGGTTCTACTTCTCAAACTAACGTTGCTACCCCTTCTTCTTTTATAACTAGGGCTTCTTCAACTCATAGATCTTCTGCCAGAAATAAGGATTCGAGTGAACCTATTCGAGAACCAACTGTTGATGAAATTATTCCTGCAGAATTTTCTTTCACTACTGATCGTGAATCAATTAGAAATCAAGTTACTTCTATCACCTCCTATGATCGTGCTGATGTTTACCCTTCCCAGATTACTGAGGGTTTGATTTCTCTTGTGCGAAGAGAATGCCATTGGAAATTTGACTTTCCAATTTTAGTTCCTTGTCCAAACCAAAGGATTACTTCGTTTCTATCACGACCCAAAATCTAACCATGGTCGTGATGGTGCCTATCGTGTTACAAGGCAAGCCTATTTCCCAAAATATTACTACTAAATCGATTATAAGAATTTAATAAAACATTTCCAACATTTGAATTTTTCATAAACTAAATCAACTCTAAATATAATTATAGAAAATACAGAAAGGAGCCCCAAATATCGGGGTGTCACTAAGTCATGAACGTTTAAAACTATGAACTAAGATATATAAACTGTCTAATTGTCCAAAAGAAGAAATGACAAAAGGAGTAACAAGGTCATGCGGACGCTAGTAGCTACCTTGCAGTCTCTAAATATAGACGGCCTGAACTCAACGATCGCCGCGCTCTAACTCACCTGAATATGCACATA